ACTAACAAGCGTTTAACAACTCAGTTCGATTACATCGATAAGTATATTTTTAGAAGGTTTATATTTAGTTATATTAATTATATTATTTTTGTTTATTAGTTTGTTTTATAGTTATTAGTACGTGTCACAACTTAGTTTGAATATAAAATTTATTATATAATATACTTTTAGATCAATTTATTATTTTAAATTAGTACTTATATATATATATATATAATATTTTAGATAGATATAAATAATTTAATTTTATTTATTTGCAATATATTGGTCAACTTAAACATCATTGAAAAGAAATGATGTGATATATTACATATAAAAAAGGGTAACAAATAGAAAATATGAAGTATTTCAAAATTTTAAAAATTAATGATAGAAAGTAATAAAATTTTTAACTAAAAAATTTTTAACACACCTACTTTTAAAGAGATATATTTATATATATATATGTATTTAAAAGTTCTAGTTAAAATTTATGTGTATTTTTTAGTATGTTTTATATTTCTCATTAGCAGCTCCAATTGAAATTTTACATTAAGTAATTTTATTAGTATTTTTACTTTTGGATGTAATGAGAGCTATAAGTTTTCTCATCATTCTTACCCCTTATTTAGTTATTATGATACTAATAAAATAATTAAGGACATTTCAAAATGTCTTGTTTGTTTTGAAAAAAAAAAAAAATATTTATTATCATAAATTAAACTCTAATTACATTGAATGTGTTATATTTTCTATCATATCAAAAATTTTCATAATAATAGTTGCACACAATATTATATATAATGCATGTTTATTTTTTTTTAATAGATTTGGAGTCCTACTTTTACTGCAAAAAAAATAAGAAAATTCCAATAAAAATGACAACAAGAATATAACGATTTTCTTATGTGAATTGAGAAAATCATGTTTTTTGTTTTCTTAAATATATTTTACCTTATTGTGACTGTATAGATTTATTAAAATGTAGTACAAATGAGAAAGGTGATAGATTATGTAAAGTATAATCTATAAATTGCAATGACATGTTATTTTGATGGTATATTTTTTTCTATTAACTAAATAATGCCCCCAATATGAAATTATTTTGGAACTATCACTGCAATTAGCTTTCCAATGGAACTTTCATTGAGTGTTTGCACAATAGCAATGACAATTTTTTCAACGATTGAAATATGGTCCAAAACAAAAACTAATGAAAATTCAGGTAATTGAAATCTTTAAATCCACTAAAGTTCATGTAATTTAATTTGAACTTTGTTAGAATAGCCAATAAAATTTTCCAGTGAAAGCAATATTTATTATATATTCGTTGGAATTTCCAGTAGAATACCTTACCGTTGAATTTTTTATTGTAATATAGCAATTTTTTGTAGTTCTCTCAAACATTAATTTTTTATGTAGTAATTATTGGTTAATTGTGTTTACAATTTTTTTTATTAAAAATATATTAAACACACGAACTTTTTAGTTCCTATATATTTTTTTTTCTCAGAAATCACTCATTCTTTTATATCAAGATTACCGATTAATTTACCAATTGAGTTACATTTTTTACATATTAAATATTAAATAATTAAAATATTTATGGTTTTATATGTTTAATATGATTATATATTATAATAAAAAAAAATTAATATAGTAAATAAAAAGTTATCTAAAATTAGAATAATAAAGATTTTTTTTCTAACCTATATGGATAAATGTACAAATAACTATTGTCTATCACTTCAAATTCACATATAAAATTAGTAAGGACAAAAATGTAATAAGTGTTTAACAACTCAGCTCGTTTTACATCGATAAGTATATTTTTAGAAGGTTTATATTTAGTTCAATTAATTATAATATTTTTATTATTTTGTTTCATATTTATTAGTATGTGTCACGACTTAGTTATTTTTCGTATTACTTATCATATTTAATATTTTTTAAAACTTTATCTTGTTATTTCATTGCAATATAGCAATTTTTTGTATTCCTCTCAAACATTAATTTTTTTATGTAGTAATTATTGGTTAATTGTGTTTACAATTTTTTTATTAAAAATATATTAAACACATCAACTTTTTAATTCCTATATTTTTTTTCAGCAATCACTCATTATTTTATCACAAAATTACCTATTAATTTTGTTACAATTTTTTAATTAATATTTTAATTAAATATTTACAATTCATAAATTCATTAATAATATTATCGAGTCAACTTTTGTTCATATAATTTTTAAATATATTATTTTCATTGATTTGCTTATGTTGAATTGAGAAAAGTTATGTTTTTTTTTTTATTATATATAGGGAGGATATAAGATATGATGGCATTAGTATATTACCAATTTGCCATTAAAAACATGTGAAAGTAAGGGTTTTTTAGGTAGTTCATTTTTTAATTAAAAATATAAATAAAATATGATGTGTATTAGTGTGTTACTAATTTGCCATTAAATTTATGTCAAAGTAAGGGTTTTTTAGGCATTATGAATTTTTACAAAAACACTCCTCCTTTTAAAGTAGTATAGATATAGATATAGATAGATAGATATAGATATAGATATAGATAACGAATTATAAATAAAAGTAATGGTAACAATCAGAAAAGATCACCCAAATACCTCGTGACTGAGATGCCACAGATTCCTATCCCGGCTATAAATAGATTTCTTGGTCACAGGTACAGGCACATTATGCTTTTTAGCATACTCAATGGCATCTTCTCTTCCAGTTATTTCCCATTCCCTCCAAGGAGCAACCACACTGAGATCTGGATTTAGAGCAAAGAATGTGAGCTCAAATCGGACCTGCAATGAAGAATCATAAGCCTCATACTGTTAAGCAAAAAAATACTAAGGAAAGGAAAAGCTTAATCGAAGATCATGGAGCATACTTGATCATTTCCTTTCCCCGTGCAACCATGTGAAACAGCATCAGCTCCAACCTCTTTGGCAACATCAACCATTGCCTGCACGTTTTTTCAATGCAATCACATTTTACTCAGATTAAATAAAACATAGGAAAAACAGGAACTTTTTTTTATTATTATTATTTATTTAATCTTTAGCCTGTACCTTCGCAATAACTGGACGAGCCATTGAAGTCCCAAGTAAGTACTTCCTCTCGTAGATAGCACCAGCTCTTAAGCAAGGAAAGATAAAATCTTTCACAAATTCCTCTTTCAAATCCTTCACAACTAGTTGACATGCCCCACTAGCCTTGGCCTTTTGTTCCAAACCTTCCAATTCTTGTAAGCCCTAACATTCACAGGATTTTATCGAACACAGAGCATTCATTAATTAACGAGAAATAAACCATTATTTTCCCTGCCTTTGTTTCTTCCAAATATATTTTCAGTGTCAACACACATAATTATATCTAACCATATGACTTTTTACACTAACTTAACAGCAAAATGCAAATATCCACTTCTTATAAATGGATGCAGTCTTATAGCTTTATTTAGCACGTACTTGACCAACATCTGCAGTGAAGCAAACAACCTCGCACCCATAGTTCTCCCTGCATTTCACAAACCAGAGAAAAGTACACTAAATGCTCCAAATAATATGTATTGTTCCCCTTCTACTTTGTCATCCTAATCTCAGTTTAATTTTAGACTTCTCAAATTTGCAGTACTTACCTATAACAAGTAATCAAAATCATCCTCACGAATGAATGCTAGCATTCAACTCAACCAAGAAGTGATATAAATAGCCTGATCTACTGTTACATTCAAGAACATTTTGGCTATAATACCTAAGCCAAGGTACTATTACAATTCATATTCCCTGAGAAGAATCAAAAGTATAATTGGCTAGCATACCTTAGCCAAGGTACAATTACAGAGGTATCTAAACCACCACTGTAGGCCAGAACCACTTTGTTTAACTTTTTACGCAGAACTTTTCCATCCACGCCACTGGAGGTTGATGCCTTCTCATCACTAGCTAAAACTGCTTGGATAGCTGCATCAAAAAACAATGGAGATTACAAATCTTAACATACATATGTGCATTGTCTTTATCACATTTTATTTAGATACAATTCACTAAAAATAATCACTAGCACCCATAAATACATTACAAAGTTATTTGCTGCTAATGGGTACGTGTGCAAATACACAAACATAAACGCGCAACTAGACTGACATTTCCAAAAAAAAATGCTGGACAGAAAAAAGAATTCTCTTGAAACGAATTCACATGAGATAAACCAAAACACGTAATTGGACAAGCAGAAAAAGGAAGCAGGTCCGATACAACAATAAAACTGATACCATGATTGCCACGGTTAACGCAAAAGTTGGCAGCTTTCTGGACAACAGCAGGGCCATGAAATTCACTAGCTTTCACCCCTAGCTGGATTCATTAAACAGACATAAATATTATAAAAAATAACATCCATCGTACATCAAGCTCTCGAGGGGGGCCGGTAGAGTAAAGTCAATTCAGCATCCAATCAAATACCTCATTTTGTGGAGTTACTTTTCTCGGGCACAGAATGTGGCTAATTCCAGCTGAATCTACATTTCAAAAGTACCGAGACGCTTAAAACCGTCCCTAAATGGAACTTTTACTTTCTATTTACTGCATCAGCTATATAAACTCATCACATTACCACTTTTCGAACCATGGAAAAATCGACTGGCATACGAACATGACGATATGGCATGTAATTGAGCCATCCTTTTATATTGGCACAGTGGTTTGCGAGGTTCTTGCCCTGAAATGATATAAAACCGTAGCAAATTCAGTATTAGCCAGTGACAACACACATTTCATACGCATTATATCATACACATTCTATACAGAATCGGAGAAAACCAGAGACAGTAAATTATTTTGAAGTCATGAAAGTAACAAGAAAAACCCAAAAGATAGAGAGAAAGAATAACGAAGCAAAGACTACAAACAAGAGAAGACAGCGAAAACCATTAATTAGGAACAATAAGCTTGAAGAAAAAAACTACTGGCCGGAAGCAGAAATGAATAACAGCTACGTCCGCACGATACTGGTCGAGATGAGGAGATAAAATACCGGCGGCGGCGGCGGC